GCAGTGAAGGTTCAATATTCAGAAAGCCATCAATGTAACCCACTATATAAACAAAATCAAAGAAAAAAACCACATAAACATCTCACTAGATGTTGTGAAGGCAGTTGACAAAATTCAACATCCCTTCATGATAAAAGTCTTGGAAAGATCAAGAATTCAAGGCCCATACCTAAACATAGTAAAAGCAATATACTACAAGCCAGTAGCCAACATCAAACTAAATGGAGAGAAACTTGAAAAAATCCCACTAAAATCAGATACTAGACAAGGCTGCCCACACTCTCTCTACCTATTCAATATAGTACTGGATGTCCTAGCCAGAGCAATTAGACAACAAAAGGAAGTCAAAGGTATACAAATAGGAAAGGAAAAAGTCAAAATATCATTATTTGCAGATCATATGATAGTATACTTAAGTGACCCCTAAACTTCCACCAGAGAACTCCTAAACCTGATAAACAACTTCAGCAATGTGACTGGATATAAAATCAACTCAAAATAATCAATAGCCTTCCTCTACACAAAGGATAAACAGGCTGAAAAAAATTAGGGAAATGACACCCTTCCGAATAGTCACAAATAATATAAAATACCTTGGTGTGAATCTAATCAAGCAAGGGAAAGATCTGTATGACAAGAACTTAAAGTCTTTGAAGAAAGAAATCGAAGAAGATCTCAGAAGATGGAAAGATCTCCCATGCTCATGGATTGGCAGGATTAATATAATAAAAATGGCTCTCTTGACAAAACAATCTACAGATTCAGTGCAATCCCCATTAAAATTGCAACTCAATTCTTCATCGAGTTAGTAAGAGCAATTTGCAAATTCATGTGGAATAACAAAAAACCCAGGATAGTGAGAACTGTTGTCAACAATAAAAGAACTTCTGGGTGAATCACCATCCATAAACTCAAACTGTACTACAGAGCAATAGTGACAAAAACTGCATGGTATTGGTACAGAGACTGGCAGGAAGATCAATGGAATAGAATTTAAGACCCAGAAAAGAATCCACACACCTATGGTCACTTGATCTTTGACAAAGGAGCTAAAACTGTCCAGTGGAAAAAGGACAGCATTTTCAACAAATGGTGCTGGTTCGACTGGAGGTCAGCATGTAGAATACAAATTGATCCATTCTTATTTCCTTGTACAAAGCTCAAGTCTAAGTGGATAAAGGACCTCCACATAAAACCAGATACACTGAAACTAATAGAAGAGAAGATGGGGAAGACCCTTGAATACTTAGGCACAGGGGAAACATTTCTGAACAGAACACCAATGGCTTATGCTCTAAGATCAAGAAATGACATTTGGGACCTCATAAAATTGCAAAGCTTCTATAAGGCAAAGGACACTGTCAATGGGACAGAATGGCAACCAACAAATTGGGAAAAGATCTTTACCAGTCTTACAGCTGCTAGAGGTCTAATATCCAATATATACAAAGAACTCAAGAAATTAGACTTCAGACAATTAAATAAACCTATTACCTATTAAAATGGGGTACAGAGCTAAATATAGAATTATCAACTGAGGTAACTCGATTGGTGGAGAAGCACCAAAAAAAATGTTCAATATCCTTAGTCATCAGGGAAACGCAAATCAAAACCACCCTGAGATTCCACCTCACACCAGTCAGAATGGCTAAGATCAAAAACTCAGGTGATAGCAGATGCTGGTGAGTGTGTGGAGAAAGAGGAACACTCCTCTATTGTTGGTGGGACTGCACGCTGATACAACCACTCTGGAAATCAGTCTGGGGGTTACTCAGACAATTGGACATAACATTACCTGAGGACGCAGCTGTACTACTCCTGGGCATATACCCAGAAGATGCTCCAACGTATAACAAGGACACATGCTCCACTATTTTCATAGCAGCCTTATTTATAATTGCCAGAAACTGGAAAGAACCCAGATATCCTTCAACAGAGGAATGGATACAGAATATGTGGTACATTTACACAATGGAATATTACTCAGCTATTAAAAAAATGAATCTGAGAAATTCTTAGGCAAATGGATGAAGCTAGAAAAATATCATCCTGAGTGAGGTAACCTAATCACAAAAGAACACACATGGTATTCACTCACTGATAATTAGATATTAGCCTAAAAGCTCACAATACCCAAGATGCAACTCAGAGGCCACATGAAGCTCATGAAGAAGGAAGACCAAGTGTGGGTGCTTCAGTTCTTCTTAGAAGGAGTAACAAAATACTCATGGGAGCAATTATGGAGCCAAAATGTGGGATAGAACCCGAAGGAGTGGCTGTCTGGAGGCTGCTCCACCTGGGTATCCATCCCTTGTGCAGTCACCAAAGGTAGACACTGATGTGGATGCCAGGAAGTGCATGCTGACAGGAGCCTGATCTAGCTGTCTCCTTAGAGATCTACCAGAGTCTGAAATATACAGAAGTAGATGCTCACAGCTAACCATTGAACTGATCATGGGGTGCCCAAAGGAGGAGTTAGAGAGAAGACTGAGGGAGCTGAAAGGGTTTGAGGCCCCATGTGGAGCGCAACAATACCAACAAACCAGAGCTCCCAGGGTCTAAACCACCAGCCTGGGAGCACATAGGGAGGGACCCATGGCTCCAGGTATATATGTATTGTGTATTGCATTGTTGGGCATAGGTGTGAGAAAAAGTCCTTGGTCCAGTGAAGGCTGGATGCCCCAGTGTGGGGGAATTCATGGGTGGGGAGGTGGGAGTGTGAAGGTGGGTGGAGGCACATCCTCATAGAAGCAGAAGGAGTGGGGATTGGATAGGGGGTTCTTGGGTGGGTGGGGGAATGGAGAAAGGTGATCACATCTGAAATGTAAATAAAATATCCAATAAAAACTGCAATGATTAATGAATGTTCAGTAAACAAGTAGACCTTACTGCACAGTGGTATTTAGTACATTAATAGGATCATAAGTACTATGTACATAGTGATTATTACTCAACATTTCCCACACTCATTTCTGTAATAGGGATTTGTTTATTGGAGAATGTATAGCTTTACACATATCTCACACTGCGGGGTGTTATGCAGCATAATTAAGGCATTCTAATGAAGCATCTCTTTCTCAACTAAGTGTCCAAAATCCTCCTTATATGACTGAAGGATTCATACATGATCATTATCCTGGCTATTTTGGGGGGCTTTAATCCATTTTCTCCTTATGCATCCAACTTCATATAGATACTGATTGTGATTTAAAAGAAAGTGTTCTCTGCATTGTCAGCATTAAAGAACTTCTAGGAGTTGTTTGTCTTGGTAGTGGCTTGCATCACTTTGGTGGATTAACTTTGTGGGTCTCCATTTCTATGGGGTTCATGCTCTATGGTAGGGTCGGGGTGCTTACATATCTAATATGAAGTAACAGGTAGAGCACAGCTGAGGGAACAGTTAATACAACATCACTGGTTTTCATTCATTTATATTTGAAGAATGAATGAATAAATGCATAAATGAACAGATCTTTAATAATTTAATGAATGTGGCACACGTTATATTATTATCCCATAACTCCATAGGGGAAAATGCCTTTCAAAAATCCATTCATAACTCCAAACTACCTTTTGTTTTCATTGTACAGCTGCGTCATCCCCCAACCTCTTTGGATCTTTCCCTTTATAACATACAGTTGAGATTATTCTTACACAGTGCTTTTCAAAGTACACAAACCGCATTCATATACTTTGTGTATAATGTTCCTGGATGTTCATCTCCTCTCCATGCCCTTTGAATGGACACATAGTATATCAGGGAATTGACGTCTCTCAGGCTGTCTCTGGCAGGAAGTGACTGTCTATGTCTACAAATGAAGTCACATTATATAAATGTCTAATGTGGTATATGTAGCTAAATATTCTTGCTAATCCTTTGCTGTTTGTCCAAAGATGGGATCTGAGTAATTATTAGAACAGACAGCACTATGGACATCTAATGAAAATTTGCTCAGTTATTTTGTATAGTGACTTTTGCCCACAATATGTCATTTTCCAATGTATCAGTTACATTTTAGCTGTACAAGATATCATTTTTGTAAATTTTAGGGCATGATTTTAAAATAATGTGTTATTTTTAAAATAGCATGATAAAATGTTTAGATGAATAGAAGCCTATAATTCAGGAACTCATTATACTTTACTCTTTGAATTCTTAGCTAATTCAAAGTTTCCTACTAAGTAGTTTGATTTCTTTCAACCCTTACCCCATGTCCTTCCAGATACATTCCACTTCCTACCGACCTAACTCTGTGTCCTCTTTATCCTAATCTTTATATATATATATATATATATATATATATATATATATATATATATACTTTAAATTTAAACCCATCAAGTCCTACTTGTGGTGCCCTCATATCCTTACCTATGAAGGCCCGTACCCTTAAAGAAAACTGAACTCTCCCTCTCCCTAAACCTATCAGTTATCAATAGCTCCTCAGTTTAGAGAAGGACTTCATGTCTACCTCTCCTCTCCATGCTGAGATTTGGTCTGGCTCGATATTACACAAGTCTTACGGATGCTGTCATAACTGATGCTAGTTCATATGGATATCTGCCCTGCTATATCCAGAAAACAATTAGCTTGTTGTGCTCTTCTACAATTTCTAGTCCTTACAATCTTTCCTTTTACTCTTCCATAATGTTCCTAACATTATAAAGTATTCACTTATTCATTTCTCATTCCTTACAGTTATTTGACTTTTTAAAAAATAGTTTAGTAACAATCGAGGAAAATTTTGTACATTTTGTGTACTGTCTTACTTTAAAAAAGTAGATTATTTTAAAAGCCACCCTTTGCTCTAGACTACAACTCGATGGTATACATTCCTCTTCTGCGTGATACTAGATAGTATCTACTATTTCTATGCTCAGGTATTTGTGTCTGATTAGTAACAACCCAAGAGACATAGGCTATGATATATATATATATCTTTGCCTATGTAAGGAATGCTGAAGGCTCTACGTGTTTTGTAGTTTTGTTTCCATTCAGTTAATGGAGAGATCTCATTAAATGTAGAAATTGGGTGACAATTCTTCTTAGAGTTGGCTGACCTAAGGAATGCAGAAGGACAAACGTGATGTGGAGGTAAGATAAATTTAGAGCATTAACCTTGCTACTCTGAAGACCTCCCATTATTAATTTAAGAGTTTAGGTAAATCCTTAAAGAGTGGTTTCTTGTTTGGGACTGGAGAAGATATAACATTGTATTGGAGGATGGTTGCAATTATTTATTCAAGTAGATGGTCAAGTATTTCATAGGAAGTAAGCTATAGTTCCTGCCCATCCTGAAGCTGCGTAGTAATTCTAAACAATCTATTTATTATATTTTGGTGCCCAGTGCTAAGCTTTTAATAGGTAGCTTAATGTCAGGGACCGAGTATTTTATTTCCACTTTATGAGACTATTTTATTAAGACAATACATTATTAGTTTCTCTTAACTACCATATTTGCCCTTGTCTTTTTCGTTGACATTAAGCAGATAGTACTTTTAGATCAATGGACAAGTTTAATGCTTCACACTCAATGGGTAAATGCAGTTATCCTGTTATTTATCTGGACTTCAAATCTGTCCAAATGAAACTCTGAGATAGTACTCAGCTAAGATAAAAATGTTCAGATAATGATACCATGAGTTTTGAAGAAAACAAGTGTACAAATACTTTGTGAAAAACTAAATTTGTTGTGTTAAGATGTCCAGAGTCAAAATGGTGGTGCCGTGGATTGAGTACTGGTGACTGTCCTATTGATGGGGATTTAGAATACTGCCTTTAAGTATTTTAGCGGCACTAGAGAGATTGCTCTGCAGTTAAGTATGCTTGATGCTCTTACAGAGGACCTGACTTAAACTCTCAGCACCCATCTCTGGCTGCTCGTACTGCCTGTAACTCCAGCTCCAGATGATCGATGCCCTCCTCTGGGCTTTGAGTGCACACAAATAGATACATAAATGCACAACACACATAAATCAATAATTTTAAAAGTAAAATAAAGTCTATCATATCATCATAAATAACTAGTAAGCAGCTGTTGGACCAGGGAACCCATCATGGCCACTTCAGCATGAAGTGATGGTATGGAGAAAGAATGTAGAGATGTTCAGCATGAAAAAAAATAGCTATTATGTGAATTAGGTTGTTAAGTGGTAAGGCAAATAGTGCTGAATGATGACAAATATCTTGGCAAGTTGAATTTTAAAGGGGGCAATCCAATTCCTCTTTCCCCAATTATTATTCTTAATGTGCGAATGAAGAGATGAGTATTGGATCATTTCTTTAATGTCATGATATATGGTCATTGCAAAACAGGCAATATCCCTGGATTGGATTGCAGAACTCCAAAGCGTAGATTGCAGAGCTAAGTCATTGGAGAGACACACCTCATCTGACTCACTTCTCTGGGCCTCACTTTTTGCCCAAAGGGATCCATACTGAGAGTTAGTCATAGTAACCCCAGGGAACATTTATTAAGGATTTTGTGGGGGAGCTTTGTTTCCAGGAGCATGAACTATAAATAAGAGAGTATCTTGGGATAAAAATGATATCAAGAAGAATGAGACTAGTTCTGTTGTAACCAAAGCAATGAGGTAATGGTTGGAGGTGGAACTGGAGAGGTAAGAGTGGCTGAAAAAGAGCAGCAGGGGGTGACTTTGATCTTTCCTGAATAATTTCCATTTAAGTATGGGCATGACATTCTACAGATATTAATATAGACTCTCTATTAGAGACCTGGTACACACCAACTAATAACTAAAGAATCACATGCTATTACCATGTCAGAAGCTTCAGGAACCTCTAATACAAACTTTTTCAGTTATAGAACTGCAAGGTAGTAGTGATTTTGACCAAGATTCACTTTGAGTTGGTGGTAAAGACAAATGTAGAAATAAAATTCCTGAAAGAAGGCGTTACTTGTAATACTTTGACATCTCTTGACACACCTCATAGAGGCTTTGCATTGTACTTCTCCCTTTTCCCTACCCACTGCAGTATTCTGAAGTGTGTCTCTGATCAGAATAATTCCAGAAAACACATCCTCTTAGGCCATGGATTATCCATATTGTCCCAAAGTCTTCAGCTTTGACATATGCTCCCAAGATAGCCTTGTTTCTTGTCCATCTTTTTCTCTTTCAAACTCTGATGAGAACCTTGATGGGTTCCTTGAGACCCCCCAGTAAGACTTAGTTGTTGAAGAAAGTAAGTCTCCTTTTCTTACCATATCCTGGTTGATGAATCCAGTATATAATAAAGGTCATTATTTCAAAAAATAGTGGGAGTAATTAACTGGGAATGGTGGGAGAATGAGAAAGAGAAATTTCCTAACTTTTTTTTTTTTTTTTTTTTTTTGGTTTGTTGGTTGGTTGGTTTGTTTTGGCAAAGCAGAAAGGAAAAAATCCTAGGCCTGACTCTGCTCATACACTCTACAAATATTGGTCTGTGAATTAAGAAACAGAACTCTATGTCGGCACTGTTACCAACTAATGCCAAGATATTGAGCAAATCACTTCTCTCTTCTAATATTCAATTCCTCTTTCATCAAATAGAAGGAATGGAAGGGGTTGACAATTAATCATTTTTTGATGTATGTTCTATATTTTGGGTTCTGGAAAACATTTGCCAGAGGTAAGAATCTAAAGCTGCTTATTACTGCCTTTTTTTCTCATTCCCAGGAATCATGGATCATGTCAACTATACCTGGACCCAGACTTTCATCCTTGCTGGTTTCACTACCTCTGGCACCAGGCAACATCTTGCAATTTTTGGGACCCTGTGCATCTATCTCCTCACACTGGCAGGGAACTTGTTCATCATTATTTTGGTTCAGGCAGATTCAGGGCTGTCCACTCCCATGTACTTCTTTATCAGTGTCCTCTCCTTCCTGGAACTCTGGTATGTCAGCACCACAGTGCCCACCTTACTGCATACCCTGCTCCATGGACCTTCACCCATCCCATCAGCCGCATGTTTCATCCAGCTGTATGTCTTCCACTCCTTGGGCATGACTGAGTGCTACCTGTTAGGTGTCATGGCACTGGACCGCTACCTTGCTATCTGTCGCCCACTGCACTACCATGCACTCATGAGCAAACAGGTAAAGATACAGCTAGTTGTGATTGCATGGGTGGCTGGCTTTTCGGCTGCCCTGGTTCCTGAAGGTCTCACTGCCACTTTACCCTATTGTTTAAAAGAGGTAGCCCATTACTTTTGTGACCTGGAACCTGTAATGCAGTTGGCATGTGTGGATACTAGCTGGCATGCTCAGGTCTATATTGCAGTTATTGGCATGATCAATACATGCAATCTTGTTTTCATCTTGGGTCTCTATGGAGGTATTGTGAAAGCTGTGCTGAGGCTGCCTTCAGCTGCTAGCCGTGCCAAAGCCTTTTCCACATGTTCCTCCCATATAATTGTAGTAACACTGTTCTTTGGCTCTGCCTTCATTGTCTATGTAGGGCCACCAGAGATCCGAGCTGAGGGCAGAGATAAGCTTATTGCCTTGGTATATACTTTGTTCACACCTTTCTTCAACCCTATTATTTATACTCTTCGAAATAAGGAAGTGAAAGAGGCTTTTAAGAGGGTCACACAGAGGATCAAGGGTATGCTGAATTGACATTGAAATCCTATAGGTCTATAATTCACCATTTATAAGTTGGAGGATTTAGCTGGATACTGATGTAAATCATTAACTAATTGTTTCAATAATATGTAAAATTTTCAACTCAAGCAGTCTTTAATTAGGACAAATCAAAAATGTTGTAGGAGAAATATTGCCCCTGAATGATCCAATGTGGGAGTGGGTGAGGACACAGATTTGAAGAGGAAGAAAAAACTGAAGGTCATTTTTTTCAGACAGAACTCAGCAAGAAAATGAAATGTGTTAATTTCTAGAATCTAGGCTGGCTATGGATTTTCATTAAAGATTGGAATTTTGGAGAAAGACCCAGAAGATATTGAAATTAGTTAAAGATGTGGGAAGAGAACACTGGGCAAATGTTGTGTTGGAGACCAGTGAGCTATGAAAACATAACACAAAGGTACAGGGAGTCCAATATTCTTGAGCAATATTGTGACACAATATGTTGGAAGACAGAGTGTTTTCCTCTAATATGAAAGAGAATGAGATGGGAAACAAATGCTCTTTGGCAAATGGCAGTTTAAACAATTATAAAATCATTGCACTCTGAAGCCAGGCAACCAGGAAACATTGTAGGTGCAGCCCCTTAGTGAAGAACTGGCCTTTTGAACCATGCAAAGATGTAAAGGCAGAAGTAAGGATGCTTTCATCTCCCTGTTTTCATGAAGCCTATGATTCTATCTTATTTTCTTTTCAATAATCTCATACATAAATGTAATTTTTAAAAAAGATATCCATTTGCCATTCTTTCCTCTCTAGTGCCACCCTATCTCCCACCACCACTTCTCCTTCCCAGCTTTATCTGTTTTTAGTGTATTTTTAATTTTTATTTGAATATTTCATACAATGTACTTTTTGTTTCCTTCTTCCTCGACTCCTTACTTATTCTCCTCATCTCTCTACCCCAAATTCCTCTCTCTCTCTCTCTCTCTCTCTCTCTCTCTCTCTCTCTCTCTCTCCTCTCTCTCCCTCTCTCTCTCTCTCTCCCTCCCTTCCTTCTTCCCTCCCTCCCTCCCTTCTTCCCTTCTTCCCTCCCTCACTCCCTCCATCTACCTCTCCCTTTCACTCTCTCCCCTCTATCTCTTCCTTCTCTACACAGCTTATGTGGTCCTGAGAACTACAGATTAATGCAGGTTTTCAAGAGCTAGACTTCTAGGGTCCATCTTTTCCAGGAGATGGCTTTAGATCCATGGTGAATGTGGAGTACCATAGGTCTTTCAATTTGCCTGGCATTTTCACAGTTTATGACAGTTGTGAAGCTTTAAATTCAATTAATAATTAGATTAGCAGCATTACTGTTTTGACTTCTTTTGTTCCTTATATAACAAAAGCACTTGAGTGCTTTATTTAAGACTGACAAACAGAGGTACCATTGATCATTTATGATAAATTTAATATGTTTGCCTCAATTTGGCTATCATTTGCAATTGCCTAGTGACTGAGTCTTAGAAAATCGTATTTTATATAGTCTTACTGAAAAAAGAATGAACATTTCTGGCAAAGTAATATCTAAATGATGTGCTTTACATTTTTCAGTTAGTGTTTATTACCTTCTAAAGAGGTGGTTTGATTTTATTTTTTATTTCTGACTTAAGAAGTAGGTTTAAGTGACATTTCTCCTTTGGTTTCTGCCATCTTCAGTTTTATGGAGTTATCTCTGCCAAATTCACTCATAGAAAGGACATGCATATGTGTTTTGTCTGTTAATATGTGTCAATGAAAATATCTAAAACAAACATTTAAAGATTATACTAAAGCAAAAATAATAGACAACTTGTGTGAGAATAAATCATTTCTCTGTGCATTTGGGATGCTCTGGTTACTTTCTAAACAGACATGTTTTGTCAGGACCATTAAGATGGGAAATGTTATTCAAAGTAAAATTGTATGTATTCTTGTGCATGTGGGTGTTTATGCATATGGGTGTTTGTGTATGTGGCTGTGTGTGTGTATGTGTGTGTGTGTGAGTGTACCTGTGTATGAGATCTGCATGAATTTATGGATTGCCAAGCTGCAAACCTTAGTTCATCTACAATCCTTGAACCAAATGATAGCTGCTATCTGTATATGTAATTCTGCCAGAGCAGAGTCACAGGAATCCTTTCCTGTACTGAAAATGGATAGTTTTGTGTTACAAAAACAAAGCTGAATACTTGTGATATAGCCTGAAGAACTGACAAGTCAAATATATTTACTCTCTGGCTCTTGAAGAAAATTAATTACCCGACCCTTACCAAATTATATGCTATTGTGTAGCTATAGACTTGGAAAAACTGTGAATGCAGTTATAAGAACTAATTGTAATCTTAAGACAAGTCAATATGCTTTGTATACTGATGTCTTGACCTCCATTGTGACTTATGTCCATTGGTGATTCTGAGTCCTGACATTGAATCCCTGTATATTTTATGCCAGGCCTTTCTCAACTCTGTTTAATTATTTTCAGGCTTTCTGATATTTTATTTCCTCCTGCCTTTTAAATCCCAGTCCTAGGGACATGTGGTATATACACTTAGAGAGAAACACAAAGCTGTAAATGGAATTCAAATGTAATAAAAATTGGATAACTTTTCCTAATGAATGTTTAATTTGTGACCATGAAGGAAGGAACTAGGGTTCTGTTAAATTAGTCAGTGCTTAATCAACAGGCACATCTACAGCTTTTGTATTTAGATAGATGAAAAGAGAAATAACATACTTATTAAATCGAAAGTTAATATAAAGTTAGTGAAATGCACAAGAAGAAAGATGACAAAGTCTAAACCTCAAAATAAGTTAATTTGGAAAACTGACCAAAATTTACAAAACAAACTGTAGTGGAGGGAGGATATCAAATGAAAACCCTGAGTATAAATGAACTTTCCAAATATATGCATATAAAAAAGATACTTTAAAATATTTATTAAGTATATTGGGTGTATATTTTCCAGATAGCATACTAGGCAATACAAATACAGAATTCAATAGACACATAAACAGCAAATATACCTTCACAATGAAGTTTGAAATATAGATATTGAATGAATTATTAGAGATAGGAAATATTCGGAAATCCACAGTACCCTAAGATTTACTACTGTTCTAATCTGGATCTACATTTGACTAATGACTATTGAATATCTGCCTTATGTCATGAAAAGCTCTAAACATTACAGTATTTAGGGATTAAAGAAAGGTTTGTTTGACTCCTCCCACCTCCACACACACATATGTACATAATGTTTATATCCAGCATTTTACAGACACCAAAAGACAGTTGTAAATACCAACTCACAGTAGTGGTGACAACATGCACAATTCCATCCCATGCTCAAGCCAGAGAAAATTATACCACATGGGGAGAGAGGCCATGAAGTTTTACCTCTAAAGAACTATTGGCAGGTGGTATCTCCTGGAAGTGGGGGACTCCATTTTCTTAATGGGTACAATCCCTTGATGGGTTGGCCACACTCTAGTGGGGGACCACAAATCTAAGAGTACATGTAGGATTTACTGCATTTGATTTTTTTCAAAGGACGTAAAATTGAGTAGTTGGGTGGTTCTGGGAGGAGTGGAGCTAGTGAATATGATCAAAACATAATGTAGAAAATTTTCAAAGAACTAATACAAAGTGAGAAAACAAAACAAAAAGTAGAAAAATATTTTTGAAATATATACAGTTTCTTTTGGTATTTTGTCTCATGTAATTCTTATGAAACACACTTATACTAAATATAATACAGAATTAAGACAAATAAATAACCACCTAAGGGCAGATAGGTAATAAATACTGGTCAAGAACACAGATCATGAGACAGGTATCTTTTTGTAGTTCTGTGACCTCGGTTACATTCTATTAATCACTGCCAACACTGTGAGAGGCATGTCACAGATATGGTCCCCTTGTTATGGCATTTTGTTTGAAATGCTGTGTGTGATCCAGGAAACAGTGTTGGATGCTTTTCTTTAGTTTTCTTAGGATGGATCTAACAAGTCTAACAATACTGCAGAATGATTGTGAATATTATATTAGCTTATGCATGCCCTGTGCTTAGAAAACTATTTGTTAAAAAATCTCAGAAAGCAGATATTTTATTAGAAAAAATTAAGGATCTATACTTATTCTTTATTTCTAAACTGGTAGCCATTATCAGTGAGGCTTTTCAAAGAAAGAGAAATATTAGGCAGTATTACACTTCTTTTTTGTTATGAAGTCACTAAAAACAGGGAAGTGAGGGAGGAAATGAGATGGATAAATTTTCTGAAACTGCCTCTCAGGAGTGAGCACTCTATTTTCATGCATCCTCCAAGGAGGCCAACCTGAGCCTTATTCTCACCTGCCCCAGGAACTAGGGATTTCTCATTTCTCTCTGCCCCAAGTGACCTAAAACTTTTTTGTTAACTCCAGAGACTATGGCTGTGGGGATAAGAGTCATAAAGGAGGAAAAAGTACTGTTCTATCCAGCCTACATCTCTTGCACATATGGAGCCTGGCAAAGCTGAAAAAGAGGAAGTATCATGGCTGGTCTGTTAACTGGGGCTTATAAGGATCAGGGATCAAAGGAGTGAAATAATGGATTTGAAAGCAGACACTGTTTTAATATGACTTACATAACTTTCTTAGAAAATCTCATTTTGCAAAACTTGTAGAATCAGGTCTAATGATTAATGATCATCTTGACCCATCCTTACCCATTTACACTTCAACTGAGAGATTATCTACTGTCTACTCTGTGGAGTGTGTGATGATGGAGACAAGGCACTTGCTAGTGTAAATGGTTTAAGGTTCAGCTTTCTGTAGGATTGGTAGCTAACATCTTATGAAGTCTTGCAGCTCTCAGTAGCAGGTGTTTTTAGAAAGATTTCACTTAAAGAGAGCCTTATTTGTTTTTTTCTGAAAATATTAAGGTTTCTTTGTATTAGAATTTAGGGTCCAGAGTAGTTCTGAAAGCATCTAGTACTTATTAGACATTCTTTGACATGAACATATAGTTGAATATAGATAAGGTTATTTTTAGAGAGAAGGAAAATTATCTAAGATACAATTCCTTAAAAATATATATATATATATATATATATATATATACACATATATACATATATATACACATAGACATAGACATAAACATAGACATAGGCATAGACATAATGTCTAGATTAGAGGTAATGAAAATTAGGTCTTTAGAAAGATCAGGAAAAATTGTTTGACTATATTTATCTTGGGATCCTGAGTGGATAGAGATGTGTTTGTGTGCAGATGGAAAGGTGTATGGGAAAGCGGGCATGCAAGAAACCTGAACTCTAGGCTTCTCATTGCCATCATTCATTGAGGCTATGCATTAATTAGTAGAGTATTGTGTATTTGCTCTCAAAGATCTCTCTAAATTGTAGGGAAGATAGTCTTACAAAGGTAGCAATTCTATGCTAATTGGGCATTGTGAATGTTATGATGGTATAGAAGAAGGAATAAACACCCTTTTCTAGGAAAAAAGAGTCCCATTAAGGAGCTAACATTTGATTTAATTGTGAAAGACCCAAGGGATGTGTTCCAGAAGGAGGAAAAGGATAAGAGTTAAGTCAGAGTCCACTGATCAAGAGGGATAAAGGTAATCATAATAGAACGAAGCATGAATTACTGTTCTGGCATCCATCTTGGTAACTGGGAAAGGTGAATGTACAGTTTCTATATGAGAGATTTAAAAAAAAACCCTTAAACAAAAATTGCTTTGCATGGATTTAACATTTTAAAGTATCAAATCAGTAAGTTTATGTCTACAGGGTTTTGTGCTGGGAAGGATTTGGATTAGAATGAGTGGAATAAATCAAAGGGACAGTGTCTTGTATGCTAATGGTTTAATTAGTTTGATTAAAAAACTTTTACTTAATACCCTAATGTAACAACCATTATTCTGAGGGTTAAGGTGAAAAAGATAAAAAGAAATAGCAACCTTTTACTATGGTGGCTGGAATTAGATTGCCTTTATCAAATAAAGTATGATCAGTGGTAGGCACAGTGACAGATTCTGTCTACCATTTTTACCCAGATGAAGTAACACTTTGATCTCTGTTCTCTTCTTCCCCTTTCATTCTTTCCCTCTTCCTGTTTTCCTTTCTCCCTTTGCCCTCTTTTTCTTTCCTTAATTTTGTATATTGTTCACATTATACTTGAGAACAATGAGAATGTTCAGAGCATTTTTAGATAGAACTTCTCAAAGTTATCTGCCTATTCCTTATCTGTGTTATCTGGTTAGTTGTCTGAAAATACAGAAATTTTACCTATTCTTACTTTATCATTCCTAATTTTAAATGCCAGTTCCCTCACTAACTGCTCATTCATCTTACTTTCCTTTTAGGGGTACCCACAAGACACCTCTGTTCATCTATCTCTGAAGTTCTTCACATAAGAACTACATTTCAGCTGTGTTGATGATCTGTTTACAATTGATTGTAACACTCTTTTGTAATGATTCCTTAGTAGCACCTTGTATCTTTTGAGGTAAGGTCCTAGGTCACTGGGTAGGTTTTCACAGTGCCCTTTCCAGGTATTTTTCAGCCCATGAAAGATAGTATTTGTCTATAGTGTTTATTTTTCCATCCACCATAGATTCTCATTCTGCTTAGATAAGTTGATTCAATGCTGTCCTTTTCTGAGGAATATCCTTTCAGTAACCCCGCTCTGATAAATCACCCCTTTCCTGTCACTTCATGATGTTTTTATATATCCCAGCTTATACTGAGTACAGTGATAGGCACACATACCAACCCGTGGTGAAGTGGCTGTGTGGGTTCTGCTGTCAGGGACTGTACCTTGTTGTGTTTTGTATTCCTTAGTCCAGAGATATATTTGTTCAATGAATATTTATGGATTTGAGGTGGACAATGATAAAAAAGCTTGTTATACCAATAATGTATACTAACTAATCATTTTAGGCTGGCTGAGAGAAAGTCTATGTATGACCTAGAAAAAAGAATGTTTTGGGAAGATCACATAGCTTAGGGATGAATGATATGGAATACAGAAATTAAAATTTTCATGCTATGAAATAGCAAAATATTCCAGTCTTTCAGCCTTGTTAGTTTTCATTGAATAAAATAGATATAATAGGTGCCTTTTCCACTTAATTATTCAGAACCAGAGCTAGATTATTTTTGCTTAGTATTAATGGCAATAGAATTAATGACAATAATTAAAATGCTACCTTTTAATTTATGAGGAATAACAATAAATATGGCTCTGATATAGATGGTGATCCCTCTAATTTGGTTCTTTAACCTTCTTTGTCCTCTTCAGCCTCTCATGGATCAACACAACTTTTCAAGCCTGACTGATTTTGTGCTCCTTGGCTTTCCCAATGTGGAACACATCAAAGGCTGCCTTTTTGTGTTGCTGCTGTTAGCATACCTGTTCACCATTGGTGGTAATACGCTCATCTTCCTAGTCATCCAAATGGATGTAGCTCTCCATAAACCCATGTACCACTTTGTCAGTGTTCTCTCTTTCTTGGAGTTATGGTATACAGCCACCACCATTCCTAAGATGCTAGCAAATCTTCTCAGTGAGAAGAAGACCATTTCTTTTGCAGGATGCCTCCTTCAGACCTATTTTTTCCACTCCCTTGGGGCTTCTGAATGTTACCTTCTTACAGCCATGGCCTATGACCGATACCTGGCCATCTGCCGACCCCTCCACTACCCTTCAATTATGACCACAGCACTCTGTGTAAAGATGGCTGTTGGCTGCTGGATCTGTGGTTTCCTCTGCCCTATTTCTGAGGTCATCCTTGTCTCTCAGCTCCCCTTCTGTAACTACAATGAAATCCCACACATTTTCTGTGATTTTCCACCTCTTTTGAGCCTGGCCTGCAAAGACACATCCACTAATGTTCTGGTGGATTTTGCAGTCAATGCCTTCATCATCCTTATCACTTTCCTTTTTATCATGGCCTCTTATGGAAGAATCCTTGGTGCTGTGCTGAAGATAAAAACAGGAGCAGGAAGAAGGAAGGCCTTCTCCACATGTGCCTCACATCTCATTGTGGTGCTCATATTCTTTGGAAGCATCATCTTCATGTATGTTCGGCTAAAGAAGAGCTACTCATTGACTCTTGATCGTACTCTAGCTGTAGTCTACTCTGTGCTAACACCTTTGGCCAATCCCATTATCTATAGTCTTCGAAACAAGGAACTGATTCAGGCCATCAAGAGGACTTTCTTCAAGAAGGTAGAGAAAGTTAGTACAACTCATCCTTGATTTTGTCCTCCCCTTACCTCAATGTTCATCTCTGGAATGCTCTATGTATGTTTTAACTGATCTTAGTCAATATTTCTCCCTTGTTACACAGGCTCTTGATTCCATCTCCTTTCACTTGAGCAAAGACTTATTTGTTTGCTTCTTTGAGTTTTCTGTATCTATATCCTTCTTATTTTTACTCAACCAGTGTTCTCAGCATTATGAAAATTCAGTATCTTAATTCATAGTTTTACACATGTACATTCCCTTGTTATACATTTTCTGACATTTTTTCTTCTCATTTTTTCCAACTAAATGGCCCATTTTTGTTCACTTTCAACTCATTCTCCTATGGATTTGTTTCAGACTTTCTAAGAAACACTTTGCCAAAGACATTAATGATGCTGAATCCATCAGACTTGTATTGTCCTCCATTTTTTAAATCTTAACACAAATGACCATTTTACTTCTTAAAAATGTTCTTCCCAATTTTTATAATATCAATAAATTCTATCTTCCTCATTCTCTAATAGGTCTTTTTTGGTATACTTTATTTTATAGAATGGTGCCTCTAGATTCTCATTTATTCTTATTGTGTCAAAGGTTAAGATAATTCAAATTTTTGGTGCCTGTGTCTGATATCTCTTTTGAGTTTTAGACTCTGTAAGAGATGGCTCACTTCCTTGTTTAGATATCTTCCAGGAAATTAAATCTTGACACTCCAAAAATGAAATATTCACAATCTCAACCTTAGAAACTTGATGCCTTTATATCTTTGTGTTAGTAATATAAATTTTAAGTTATAACATCTACTTCATTTTCCTTTACCCTATGTCTAGTACATAATTAATTCAATTCCTCAAAATACATTTTAAAATCTGTCTCTTATTCTCTTTAGTGTTGCTATCTGGTATAAATTCCAGTGTTTTTCAACTGAACTGCATTATATGTTTCTGTATAAGACCTGATATTTTTAAGGGCTGGAAAGATGGCTCAGTACTGGGAGCTTAGCCCCAGACTAAGCTGGAGTGGGTCTTCTCTGAAGTAGCTGATGGGAACAAGTATCTGTAGGGCGTAGGGCAAAGGGTTTGGGGTGGACTTGGTCTTGATAAACTTTGGGTTGCTTTCTAGAATAACGCTTACTTACTAACTTAGAATTACTAAGTTACTCTGGAGCCAGAAGTTGCAGGCCTCTGGGCAAATTAACACTGGTCTTTAAACAGCAGAGAATTACTAAAGGATTAATTGCTAGTGCTCTGTTCTCTCTTATCCAGAAGCCTTTCCTCTTACTTGTCAGACAGGAGGGAGGTTTGGAGTAACCAACTTTTACTGAAGCATGGTCAGAGAGGTAGAAACTTTTGCACAAGCAAATATGCATGCATTCATATATACATCCATGCACACACTCATGCATCTTCATGCACCCCTCTTGGGCCCACCTACTTATCTATCTCATATTTACATACTCCCCACACACATTCATACTTACACATACTTATAGAACAAAAGACCAAACACCAGTGTAGAAAGAACTCACCCATTCAGGATGTAAAGGAGGCTCCAATTTTTATTGCATAGAGAAAGAAAAAGCTTCTATCCTTTTATTGCTAAATGAATTAAATTCAAGTCTGTAAGAAAAGACATTTGTCCTCTTTAATAAGACAAAGCCTGCCTTGCTGTTAAGAAAAGACTTGTTTTGTCCCATGGTAAGGAGGAGTATGCCTGATCTTTCTATTATCTCTGCAGTTTTTTCTTTGTCTCTCTTTCTCTCTGGATTCTGTATATTGCTTTCTGCCCTTTCCGAATGTCCATATTACATAGTTTTTGTACATTTTTTAGAAGAATAGATCACTTGGTTTTTGCAAGCATCCTTTTTTAATAAACAGAAGTTCACTAGAAGTTCAAACATAAATTCAAATCATAGATTGAATAAGAAGTTTACAACAGAGATGTTTACATGTGTGTGTGAGTGTGTGTGTGTGTTTTAAGAATAGTTATCTAACTAGATATTTATTTTCTTTCACTGGTTCTACAGGTTCATCAAAAGTTAGAAATCATAGTTCTTGTAACTAAGTTAGCATTGAAATTTGGTATAGTTAAACCAATTAAATACTTTATCTTCTGTCCTTGCATCTACAATAAATTGTTAGTTCCCTTTTATGGCTTTTGGTCAATTGTCATAGCTCTAAGAAATAGACTCCTAAGTTATAAATCCTTGCTTTCTATCTCAGAAGCAATTAACTTGTTTTAATTGCAGTTTTCATATCTGAGCAAGCTTTACTATAAAGGGCTTGATAATTTTTAGTATAATATTAGGATTTCTTAGAGAATTGTCCTTATGAATTAAGAAATCATTGATTCGTCTATATAGAATCACTACAAGACAGTGCATCTTCATATATATGCAGAAATCTTCCAGATAGGGTGGGCTAATGCTCAGGGGCAATAATATTAATTTTATAAGGACAGAAAAGGCATGTCAGCTGCAAAATCTTTTCCTGAGATTTTTGTCTTTTGGGACTTGACTCTCAAAGGCTTTTCCATTGTAGTTCCAATGGTGAAACATCTTTGGAAGATCACCCTAGCTTTTTGCCTTTGCTAGAGACTTCTGATAGTCCAGCAATTACAAGCTTTGGCTATTTTTCAGAAAGCCTGAGTTTATTCCTAGAAGCCACATGAAACTCATAACCTTCTGTAACTCCAGTCACAGGAGACTCAGTTCCCCTCTTCTAGTCTCCATTGGCACTAAGCATGCACATATTTCACAGATATCCATGAAGGCAAAAAGTACACATACTCATAGACATAAAAACAGTAAAAATAAATCTTTAAAAGAATCTAATATTTTAAATCTAAACTAGATAAGCTATTCCGAAATCCAGGAAAAGCAGTTGCTTATAGATGAAACCAAAAACTTTACCACTCTAATATTAACTGTTCGCCATCTTTCCCGTAGGGAACCTGGGTGTATTTTCTTAGGGATATTTTACTTCCTTCTTATAAATTAAGTTCATTTTGGTTTTTAGAACCTTCACACTTCCCATAACACTTTATGCTATTCATTTGTCCTTATGTTGTGGTTCAAAAATCAATTTCAGGGATAGTGTGATTGTTTAGTACATATAAACACTTATGGTACAGATGTGCTGGGTTGAATTCAATGCCATCAACCACAGTGTAAGGAGACAACCGACTCTCTTAAGTTGTCCTCTGACCTCCACAGGTATTCTATGGCTTGCATGCACATCTACTCACATACAAATCAATCCACCCATTGATGCCACTTCAAGTGATAGCATTTTGGATACCCTTTCTGAATACTCAACAAATTTTCTACTTTTATCTTTTTATTAAATCTTTGAAAATATTGTATAATATATTTTGATCATATTCATGTCTCCTTCCAACTCCTCTCAAATCCAGCCCCCTTCCCTACCTACCAAACTTAGTATTCACTTTGTTTTTCTTTCTCTTAATACTTAGCAAGTCCATATGTTCTTGAATGAGTGACTTTCTACTGGAGTTCAGTTGATTTACTAAGGCTTACACTGTTGCAGAAAACTAATTCTCCCTCTCCCAGTAGCTACCAATTGTGAGACTGCATAAGGGTATCTTGGTTCTTGGCTGGGCATGGGCCTGGAACCCTGAGACTCCAAGGGAGAACCAGCAGGGGTTCGGCCATGTCCCCAGAACCCAGGGTCCTGAAAGTCAGTCTCCATCGACTTACATTGTTCAGTCACATAGGCCATTACAGCCCCTCCCAAAGTGCAGAGGTAGAGGGTGTGACTACAGGCCTCAGGCCCTAGAGATTTACATACTAATGAAGGCCAGAGGGTGGAGTAAATTAACCATTCTTCCCCAGACCCTCTCCCTTTCTCTCTTCCTATTTAATTCAGGTCTGCCCTGAGTTTCAGGGGGGTACATCCAGATCTATCTACCATATGTCAAGAAAATAAACTCTTTTGGAACCAAGGACTTTTTTGTATCATTGGGGCCTGCCATCACCAAAGCCTCCACCCTCTGGAACCTTAGACTTTCTCCTGTTTGTGAGATCAGGCGTGGAAAGTCTCTGGGATGACACTGTGGCTTATTTTCCCACAATCAATTGCTAAAATCCTTTAGAACTATTGTATTTAATGCCAACCCCAGCCCTTCCATGCAGGAATGTTGTCTGAGTTGAGCTTATATGATATTATGACTGCTCTGAGTTAATGTATGTGGCTGCCCTGTATTAAATTATATATTTTTTTCCTTCAAAATATGTAAAAAAAATTTCTGTTTGTAGGTATAGTTGTTTATATGTAACCAGAGGGTTAATCAATTTTTTCCTACAGTGAAGATTTATGTTCTTCAGTCTATTTATACAGTCTATTACTTTCATAGAATTGCATATGCAGAACCAACTTTGCATATTTGGGATGAAGCATACAAGGTGATAATGCATGATTTTCTTAATATATTTTGTTAATGTTTGCACCTATGTGTACCAGGTAATTTTTTAACTTTTATTTCATTTTGTCCATACCTAGCTTTGATATTAAAATAATATGGACTTTGTAAAATGAGTTAGGGAGATTCCCTCCCTTTTGCATTATGTGGGGTCATTTTTGAAGTATTGGTGTTAAATCTTAAAGGCTTGGTAGAATCCAACTGTATATTCAGTCATGGTCTTTGTAGAGGAACTTTTAATTATTGCATCAACCATGTTATTCACTATGGGTCTATGTGAGTTGTTAACGATGTCTTGATTTAGACTTGGGAAGGTGTGTGTGTGTGTGTGAACGTGTGTGTGTGTGTGTGTGTATCCTCTGACCATTTCTTTGCTCTGTGAAATAATTTTCTTTGCATTGTTAATTTTGTCAATTTGCATCTTGCCTTCCTTTAATCAATTTTCCTAGTGGTTTGTCAGTCTTGGTTCTTTTTTTATGTATTATTCATTGCATCCTGATTTCATCAGTTTCTGTCCAAACATTTATATATTTTTGCCATCTACTATATTTACATTCAACCTATATTTTACA